CAAGACAACGCAGATTATTTTGCCCTTTTCCCAATTTTTTTCCTTCTTTTTCACACTCTTGGCGGTGGGGTATTAGTTTACTTGCTTTTTTCCTTTCTGCGGAGTTATCTATGTCTGCTGCACTCGGATGTACCACGAATCTTCTTTCTTCGAGACGGTGATACAATCTGAAACGAATGTGAGAAAAACCGAGGTGCGAATTGCATTTTTATTGGGTTTTCTTCTGGTTAAGCTTGCATTTTTTTTTTTATATGTTTTGGGTGTTCAACTTGTTCACTTCTATTTTATTGTGTAAAGGGGGCGCATAGTGGAAAACCCTTGTGAGGAATTCTAGTAAATTCAGCATTTGGAGTCATAATAATTGAGTGATCGGCATTTGATATAGCTCTTGGAAAAATATACGATTAAAGATAGATTTGTTGTTGAGTTGATTATTAGATTGGAAAATTGAAAGTTGGTGTTCATTTGAGACAAGATGGTTGAAACTAGTGAGGGGATTGCTAATAATACTGCATATACAAATGGATTGGCTCGAAGTGGAAATGGTTCTATAGAGGAGAAGATTGATGAGATTCGAAAATTATTTGGGAAAGCAGATGGTGATCCATTGAGGATTGTTGGGGTAGGCGCAGGGGCTTGGGGTAGTGTGTTTGCAGCAATGCTGCAAGATGCATATGGGGGTTTTCGCGACAAGGTTCAGATTAGGATATGGAGGAGAGCTGGGAGGTCTGTTGATAGAGCCACAGCTGAGCATCTATTTGAGGTGATCAATTCGAGGGAAGATGTGCTGAGGAGGCTCATAAGACGATGTGCATATTTGAAGTACGTGGAGGGGAGACTTGGTGATCGGATGCTGTATGCAGATGAGATTTTGAAAGATGGGTTTTGCTTGAATATGATTGACACTCCACTGTGCCCTTTAAAAGTTGTCACTAACTTGCAAGAGGCAGTTTGGGATGCTGACATTGTTATTAATGGATTGCCGTCTACGGAAACTTGTGAAGTGTTTGAGGAAATTAATAGGTATTGGAAGGAAAGGATTACAGTTCCGGTTATCATTTCTTTAGCGAAAGGAATAGAAGCTGAGTTAGAGCCTGAACCACGTATAATTACTCCGACTCAGATGATCAATCGAGCAAGTATGAATTCTTATCTTTTCTCTCATGTACATCTGATTTTTCGTAGATGACATAAGAATTCTTCTGATTAAGTTCCTTAGATGTAGTGTCTTGCTTGTATGAGTAACTAATCACTTTCCTAGTACGGTAAAATTAGCTTGAATGTTCATCACTGTTCTCCTAGTACAGTAAAATTAACTTTAAAGTTTGTCATTGTTCTTTAATATTTTTCTGATCATGATGTAATTTGTTTTGCTTAATTTGATAAATTGATTGGTGCTTATACTCCTCTCCGTCAATCCTTTGTACTTTTCTTGGTTGGGGAATGTCAATCGGGGTAATTTAAATTTAGCTGGAAAAAATTGGTCTCACTCTGACGAGGAGAAATTCGTTTGTGTTTGATTGGTAATTATTGGGTAATCTTGTAAACCACGTGTCTCGTAACTAGGAGCAATTTTTTATTTGCTAATTGCTACTAGGTGTAGGTTGTGCAATTTTATTTCGTACATTATCATCCAGCTATAATTGTAATCTTTTGTAGCACATTCATACAGATTGATGTTAGCCAACAAGTTTATCACAGTTGGTCACTATACTGACGGAGAAAGGGCACTAGGGTTATTGCCACAGTGATTTTTTCTTGCTATTCTTTTTTTTTCTTTTACTTATATGGATAACCAATGAACTATCAGGAAAAAGCTAATTTGAATAACTAATTTATGAAGGGGATAGTAGCTGATACTTACCTAGATGTGTTTCAGCTTTTTTCATCCAAAATTTCATGAAAACAAGAAAGAGCTCCAAATATATTTTTATCTACTGGAAATACAGTCCAAGAAAAAGGTTTTCTTGCTTGTTTAATAGCTATTCACTATTTAAGGGTCCTGTTTGTTAAGGCACCCAAGGATGCGTTTTAGTTTATTACACCATCTCAGTCTTCTTTGTCCTGTTAAAAATTGTCCAGCTATGGATCGTAATATAGAAAACATAACGGCTCACATAATTATTCTGTGCACCGGCAGCATAGATACCCTGATTTCTTTTTTCTTTGTCGATGGTATGCCCTTTAAAACCAGGGTTCTCATTTCTATAGTATTTGACCAAAAAAGCTATCCGCTTTAGGTTCCCTAGCTGCTCCTCTTTTGCTTTTTGGAATGGTTGAAACTATTGTCTTTTACAAGTGAAGCTGCTGCTGCTGTTTATTATTTCTGCTATGTTTTTCCTTAACACGGGCTATTAGACCGCTCTGGTGGTATTTCTATCAGTACTTCAGCCACCCCAGAATCCATATTTACTGATTTTTTTATTTTTTATTTATTATTATTATTTTTAATAATTTGGAAAAGCAAATTATGGACTGACTTATATGAAACAAACTGGATTATCAATGGATGTGGCACAGCCTCGTGTATATGTCATATGCAATGCAAAATAGGAAATGATTCATCATTTGGTGCTAACAGCATCAGAATGAATTGGACTTATCTTCTGTGATCTTAAAGAAACATCTTGCATTCTCTTGCCTTCTTAAAGGATTGTCTACATGCCTGTAATATGTGATGAAACATGAAACAAGATGCTAAAAAATTCAAAATTGGAAAGGCTAGTCAATTGCTATAAGCAGTTTTCTAGTTCCCCTTTTGTTTATATTAAACAAGCTGCTTGAGACAACACTTGAAATTGAAATAAATGTTTGTTGCTTCTATATATTGGTTATAGTACTGGATTATATATCAAGTAATATGTTGAGAAAGAATTCAGATCAAGTTCAGCTGTGCTTGAAATCACAAAGTTGTCGATAATGTATGCAATGCACATTGATGATTTCATCATATGAATTTCATTATTAAAACGGAATGAGGAAACTTGTTAAATGAGATGAGAGGAAAAAGTTCACTTGAGATTTCATATAAATAATACAAGACTGCATGTGCTTCTGTTAGATTATTTTCATCTTGTGCTTTTATAATAAGCTGACTGTTTTGATTATATATGTCATTTCTTCTCCCCATTTTTGGCCTTGAAGTGTTTTGTCCTCTTTCTCATGTATGATTTTATCTTTTCAGCTGGGGTGCCAATGGATAACATTCTCTATCTTGGTGGACCTAATATTGCATCAGAAATTTACAACAAGGAATATGCCAATGCTCGGATTTGTGGAGCTGAAAAATGGAGGAAATCACTAGCAAGGTTTCTGAGGCAGCCTCATTTTATTGTTTGGGATAATGGTGACCTTGTTACTCATGAAGTCATGGGTGGATTGAAAAATGTATATGCAATTGGGGCAGGTGAGGCTCCTTTTATCTGATATTTTCCATGTAAAAGTCGAACTTTCTGTGAATGATGAAGTTTATCTTATGGATGAGAATGATGAATTTTAGCTTCGAAGTAGGTAGGGTTGAGATTTTCTTCAATAATGTTAGACGGGACTGATTTATAGTGACATCTAAGTGCTGCTTCATTTTTTTACTGGTTTTTCCTTTCACACGAGTGTAGATTACGAGATTGAACCTACTATCAACAGTAGAAATTGATCTTGATTCAGCCTGAAGAAAATTTAGTGAACAGCAAGGAATTAATTTACTTTATGAAGCTTTGTTCATTCTGGATGATCTTCTTGACACCTATATGATTGATTTTTTTCTTTATTTGAAATTAAAATGGACAGGTATGGTGGCAGCTTTAACTAATGAAAGTGCAACAAGCAAGTCGGTGTACTTTGCTCATTGTACATCGGAGATGATCTTTATTACTCATCTCTTGGCAGAAGAACCTGAGAAACTTGCTGGTCCTCTATTGGCCGACACTTATGTGACCTTGTTGAAAGGTCGAAATGCATGGTATGGTCAGAAGTTGGCCAAAGGAGAATTAAGCCTTGATATGGGTGATAGCATCAAAGGCAAGGGAATGATTCAGGTTGAATACTCTTAACAAATTGTAATTCTGCTCTGAAATGAACGAATTTAGATTAATGAAATCAGAAAGAAGATTTCATGCTCTCTTGACTTGAATTTGTTTTCCTTGCTAATAATACTGCAGGGAGTTTCTGCCGTAAAAGCTTTCTATGAGCTACTTGGTCAATCTCGTTTATGTATTGTTCACCCTGATGAAAACAACCATGTTGCTCCAGTCAAGCTATGTCCCATCTTGAAGACATTGTATAAAATACTAATAGTGAGGTAATTAAATTGTGATATTCGTCAATCAAAAGTTTGTCTAGTAAATATCTCAAACTTATCTGACTTTTGTTAATCTACAGAGAGGTGTCATCGGAGGCAATCCTTGAAACTTTGAGAGATGAAACCATGAATGATCCTCGAGAACGCATTGAGATTGCACAGAGCCATGCTATCTATAGACCCTCTCTACTCAGAAAATAGTGTTATTACATTTCATTCTGGGATGCCTAGTCTACTATATGGATCATGGTTGGCAGTTTTAGTGTGTGAAAATGTTGAGACAGTTTGTTGGGACACACGCTAGGTTTTCAAATGTTGTACAAATTTTATTCTCAATAAATTTAGAGTTGGCTATGAATTTATTTATTTTTTATTATCGAGAACGCATTGAGATTGCACAGAGCCATGCTATCTATAGACCCTCTCTACTCAGAAAATAGTGTTATTACATTTCATTCTGGGATGCCTAGTCTACTATATGGATCATGGTTGGCAGTTTTAGTGTGTGAAAATGTTGAGACAGTTTGTTGGGACACACGCTAGGTTTTCAAATGTTGTACAAATTTTATTCTCAATAAATTTAGAGTTGGCTATGAATTTATTTATTTTTTATTATTATTTTTTCGTAATAGCTATTGTTGACTTCGATTTTTGTAGGGGTGATTTGGCCGACAAATCTAGGCTCCACTCATGTCCACGTGATCTAGCTCTAGTACACTTGGACAAATTGTTAGTTGCACGTGGACTTCTTAGATGGTGGGGGAGGTAGCTGCAAGCACTGTGATGGTTAAATCTGTTAGCGAGAAGTAGTGTAATGGATGGTGGACATGCTAAAGACTTGAACCACAATACAAGGGGTATGGATCTAAAAGTATGTGAATAGAGAGGATAATAAGAGAGAAAAGTTATAGTTGAGTGTATAAAATTGCATTACTTTCGAATGGCATTAAGTGTGAGCTTTCAGGGTGTGAGAGATGAAATATTGATTGTTGCATGGGAAGACATGAGGCCTTATCTAGATGGAATATTGATGTTTTATGAAAAATAGTCATCTTAGAGTTTAGGTCTGGGCTTGCTTACCATTGAATGGACGAGCTAAGTATTGTGGCTCGTCAATATTTTTTTTCCAATTTGAACTTAAAAGTATAATTAAGATGTAAATTTGTAAAGGCGTGTTATATTTTGCCAAAAGCTTTATAAAGTTGTAAAAATCTCTTTTTAATTGGGTTCCATACAATACAATATATAAGGTGGAGTTGAAATTGTAAATGAATGAATGTTCTGTATACAATTTTCTAAAATAAACAATTAAAAGTCAAAAGTTGGCTTGTGCTTGCGAGCCAACTTGTACGAGCTATTTGTCGTTTGCTACCCGACTTGTGTCTGGAGCTTGTCTTGACCTTGAGCCGTATTAGTTCAACTCACAAATGGGGCAAGTCGGGCAAGTGACTCATCCATTTTTCACTCTAATCGGGCCTTAAATATTTCAAAAGAGGAAAAATGCCTAAATGGCTACCAATTTAGTTGTATTGGATTCAACTAAAAAAATTTGATTAAAATTTAAGTTAAAATTGACAATTAATTTTAACAATACATTTTATTAGGTCCATAACTTTTTAATCATATATTTTTTTAATTTTTATTAAAATCTACCAAAATTATGATTCTTAGTTAAACAAACATGAACAAATTTTGTAAATATTATAACTTGTTCATTTTTTCAAACCTTAAGATATACAAAATGGATGTCCAATCAGATTGAGTAATTTGTTAAGCCACTGATTTCATTGATATTATAAGGTAGCAATGTAGCATGTTTAATTTTACTTTCTCAACTTAAAATTAATTTTGTTAATTTAAAAAAAAAAAAAAAGGAGTATTTTTAAGCGTAAGGTTGAGCCGATAAGGCAAGCAGAGGAATTCCGAGGAAGAAAAGAATCATTGACAATGGCACTCGTTGATTATGCATCTTCTTCAGAGGATGACGAGCCTCGAATCGAAGCAGGACAAGAACAAGAACAAGTAAAAGTCACAGAAGAGAAACTATTCCAGTCTCAGGACGATCATTCAACTCGCTTCCGCAAGTAATTCCTAGATAATTTTATTTTCTGTCTAATTTTTCCTCTAGTTCTCCAACCTAAGTTTGTACGCTTCCTATAATACAACTAAGAAATATGATTTGGAATACAAAAACATATCAAATTTATCCGCGGTGGTAATGATCTATGAAGAGTGGGTTTATTTTTAGGATTTTCTACCATTCTATCATACAGTATTGTCCAGTCTTCTGATATTCTGGTTTTGGTTATGGTTTTGAAATTTAGGAAAAAAAAAAAAAAAAGGACTAATTTTTGGACCTGAGGACAAGATGTTAGGTATTGACGTATGGAATCCTTGAACATTTAAAAAATTATATTAGTTATGTTCTGTTTGAACCCTATCAAAAAAACAAAAAAAAAAAAAAAAAAAAAAAAAAAAAAGAAAAGAAAAGAAAAGAAAAGAAGAAGAAGTTATGTTCTGTTTGAACATTGGATATACTGGTGAAAATGGAAGAAGAAAAGGAGAAGAAGAGCAGAACGAAATGCAAAACAAACTGACTTATTTAGCATTTTTGTGACACTAATTAAAATTAAGAGTTGTGTATGTTGCTACTATAGTTCTAAACTAAGGCTGAGAATGGATTTCTAAAATCTCCTTAAGATAGAAATGGGTACAATCAGGTCAGGACAGTGCAGAGACTAAACTTATTCAGGCTTGAATGCTCTCCGCTCAAGCTAGACCCTTTGAAATAGTAAGCATCAAACTAGAGTTAAGTAACTTATTTTGAGTTGCGCTTAAAATTGGCTTGGCAAAAGCTTACCCAAAAAATATTAGCCTGGTTTGAGTGGTTCATTCATGACATTGAGCTAACATTCAATGGGCTAAAGTTTGGCTTGGGTACATCTTTAAGTGTCTCTCCCCCTCATCACTTCCTGTTTTTTCCTCGTTTTGATACAAACAACTTATTACCTTTCAGATTGGCCAGTGCCAAAAGGTGTAGCATTTCAGAAAAAGCCTATGAAAAACTATAAATTGAACTCTCCTCATTCAATAAATGATTTCTTCTTGGTCTTACTCTCTAAAATTCTGTCCAAACTATATTTTATTATTGTCAATAAATTTAGGTCAACTAGATGAATCCTCATAGAGTGCGCCTTTTTGGGTCTAAGCAAGGCATTTCCCTTTATTTATCCTGAACGAGTGCCAGCTCTAGTTGTTTTTGTGGGATAAAGAACTGTAAATCACTTTTTAGGTGTTCAGCATTTCCTCTGCTTTTCTTATGGGTTTTCTAGGAATCAAAAAAGATATTTAGTCTGTTATTTTTGGTCAATAGATATGAAGGATAGTTATTTTCATGTACTTTATATGTGATTTTTCATTTCTCCAATGGGTTAATTGCTAAGTGATCTGGAGTATAGTTGAGTACTTGACATTTATCCGAACTCCGAAGGATGGATTCTTAACAACTCCGAGAAAGAGAAAAGGAGAAATTGAAGTTAGATTTATTCAGTGCGTATGCATGATTTTCATTGCTATTGCAGTTGGAAGGTTGATATAAGATGACTCGTTGTTTACCCCTATCTTTTGTCCTGTTACACCTGTTGCTTTTATGAATCTTATTAGCCTTTCCATTATATGTTAAGTCAAGATTTCATTGAAGTTGCTTCAGATGGGG